GGTTGCTGTGAGCTGTGATGCCACAGCACTCTACCCCGGGGAATAGTTTGAGGCTCTGTCTCAAAAAAAGAAAAAGATCAGTTCCAGTACATGGCCAGCAGTTCTTTTCCAGCAGCCAGTGCAGGGCAATTAGCTATATGCTCTCTTCTACTGCTATAGAAGGACCCTGTCCTGTCCCCATGGAGAACAGAGACAGCTAGGTGCCATATGACATACGCTTAGCAAAGGAGCGTTCATTGAGCTTACTACAGGGAAACTATTTCATTCAAGGCAATAAGCCAACATAGATTGCATGGTACTTTTGTCTCTTGGTAAGGAAGTGTTCCAGGCCCAAGGTCCAATCTTTGTGGCCAAGTGAGAGTTGAGAGACTGCATTTCCAGCAATCATTACTATAAGTCATAAGTAAGGGAACTGAATTCGTGATCTCATTAACAAGTGAAATTAATAGTTTTTGAATGTCTAAGCCTGAATTTGTATTTTCATCTCTCAGTTTTAAATGCTATGTGTCTGCAATTATAACCTGAGAAATATTCTAGGCTTTTTATCAATTTCTGTTTCATATATATGTGGTGTAATGAAATATGTAGTGTTTCATGTTCCCTGTTAAAATTCTGTGATTGTCCCTTAAGATGTTGAAATAAAAAAATTCTGGAAAAAAAGTTAATCTCTTAAGCAATTGCCCTACCCTATTCAAATATACACCTTCAGGTTAAAGCTGAATTTACAAAACAATAAGAATGGGAGGCCTGAGGTGAAGATCACAGAAGTCTAAACTTGTGTCATCTCAGCCCTGGCCCTACTGACTCCATCTTATTTTCACTACATCCTCTCTCATTTGGACCTCTTCCTGAGAGACAGACCTTGGCCCACGCCTTCCTGGGGAGATCCCTATTGGCCATTGTGAGACTTGCATCTACCTACCACAGATCTGCATCTTTTCACCAATTAGAAAAGACAGGCTGCCAACAGCGACATCTTGTGGCTATGAGATGAAACGAGGATGGTAGACAGCTGACTCCAGCCCTTACTGTCAAATGTGTAGAAGGTGGATTTTCTTTTAGGAATTTTTGGATCACTTAACCCCCTGTAAGTTTTTTTAAATAGTGGGCAGGGATTCCAGTTTTAGATTTCAAATTTGTTAGACTGAGAAATAGAAGACTGAGTTGATTTTCTTTCGTGGAAAAAAAGAGAGCAGTGATCATATTTGTAGATTGTGGAACAATTTTTTTTTAACCTGTAGATCAGGGTGCAATAAAATTAAGCTTGAAGATGCCAAATAATCTTTCTATATTATACTCCGTCTGAAAACCTAACAGTGGTTCCCCAACACCTTCTGATTAAAGTTCCAGGACCTTAGCACATCTCCTGAGGGCTTTCCCTCTTTGCCTTTCTGATGGTGGGTGCAACACCCTCTTCAGATTCCTCAGGAAGACTTCGGTAAGTTCCTTTACGTGTATATTTGCTAATACTTTGGGTGTCAGGCTTGTGGTTTTGGAGGCGGGTGGATATGAACTGTACCAAAGGACCCCAGGTTTAACTACAACAAAAATAATTTTTGAAATAGGAGGTTTACTGAGCATTTGTGAGCCAGTGCTTTGGAGTCGTTATCTTATTTAATTTGGACAAGGAGTTTCCTCTAAATATCTTTCCTCTCTGTATTGCCGGAGCACTTTTTCTCCCTCTAGGCTTGCGGTTTTCAATCTTGACTGCACCGTTGGAATCACCTGGGGAGAAGTGCCAGGGTTGATCAGCCTGTCAGAGTTGATCCCCATGGGCCTAGGAAGACTTTAGAGACAGCCTAAAGTAATCCTCCTCTGTTCACGCTTATCACATTGAATAAATTTCAGAGTATACACCTATTTCCCTAACTAGACGTTTAGCATCTTCGCATTTCCAGAATCCGATGCAGGGCCTGACACTTCGTAGATATGGAAAATACCGATGGGAGGGTGGAATGTCATCAACAAACTTAATTGGGGTCCTCTAAATGCCAGCCGCTCTAGGGTTCAGCCAGGTTTGGAACATCCTGAACATGCTGACTGGTCCCCCAGCAAGATCTGTCAGTCACAGAGGGAGAGGAGAGTATAGAGAGGGCAGTCAGTGGTGGCAGGTAGCCTTATGGCCACAAATATGTATTTCTGATGTCTTCCAGGTAGATGAGCCTCCACCCAAGCGACGGAGAAGCTACAAGGACAGAGACTACGCACCAGCTCCTGCACACTCGAGTCAGCGTTCGTGGTAAGCCCCGCCCCAAGCAGCGGAGCCAACCAGAGAGCAAGGTACGTCCCCAGCCTCCCCATGAGGCCAGAGAGAATCGCTTGGGGCATAAGGAGGCGGAGCTGGGGCCAGCCCTCGACGCGCTCGGGCTCGATTGGCCAGCCTCCCTCGGCGCCGTAACGGTCGCGGAGGCGGGGCCCGAGTCGATCCCAGGCGGGCCGGGGAGGGAGGGCTGCTGGTGGGAGGCGGTGTCTGAAGAAGGTGAGTGGCGCTCTGTGCTTACGGTGTAGTCGGCTAGATCTCCCTCCTGGAGCACTACCCGGACTTGGCCTCACCTGGCCACTGCGAATGGTCGGGCTGATTATTGTCAGGGCCACGGGAGCAGGCGCCTCGGACAGGTTCGCGCTAATTACAAGTCCGAGTAAAGGTTTGGGAATCGGACAAACCCAGTTCGGCTCCCCTGTCTTTGTGCTCGTTGGCTTCTCATTTGACGTCTCTGGGCCTCGGTTTCTTTGTTTGCCAAAGCTGGTAGTTCTTCCTTACATGGTGTTAAATGAGACAATAAGTGTAAAGCTTAGACTGAGACCTGGCACAGACTAGCTTTGGGGTAGGTGGGACGTAGGTAATCACTCCGTCCACACGAGTCGACCAGGGCTGTGCCGCTCGGGTTTTCCCTGTCAAAGTGTCCGAGAGGTCTGGCCAGTGAAGATTCGGAGCAAAAGGGGGAGATTACATGAATAGGGTAGGTGAGTGTATCCTTTCCTCCGGTTTATTAGGCTCATGCCGGATTCAGGAGGAACTTTTGACTTTTATGCAAGATCTGATTTGATGCTTTCAAGGTGAAAAATGTCAGAAGGCTGAGAGACCGGTAACTCTCAGAGAGAGTAACATGTAGAGACCAATCAGAAAGGGTTTCTTTTTTATTTCCACTTTATTTTTTAATCACAGTAATGTTAAAGACTGTGTAGACATTACCCATATTGGTTTCAAACTTCTGCATGAGTTTTTTTCTTTAAATATTGCTAAGTAGATACTGGCCTCTCCTGCTTCACTTTTTAGGGAGAAGTGGCTGACGTGGAAGTTTTTACTGGCAGCTTTAGCTTCAAAGCAGGAGAGGTATGTTCTGGTCCTTCAAGTAACCTGTCCTGGGGCAAAATGATTTGGTGGAGATGACATCTCATCTTAATGCCCTTTATTTTTGGTAGATTCAGCTCTTTCTTAGGAACATTAAATGGCAAGTTGGCATATTTTTAGAATAGAGCTTTTGCTTTAATAGAGACCAGTTTTCCCTGGCAGCATTGTGGGAGTGGATTGCGGGCTGGCTGGCAGCTGTGAGACTGAGGCCTCAGAGGGAATCACTTACCAGAGTGTGTAGGTTCTTCATGCAGAGCGCTAGTCCTCTGGCTCTTGGGATCAGTCTGCCAGCTCCCTGGATCTGACCTTCTGCACCTTCTAGCTCCCTATCCTAGTGTGCTTGTTTTTGTTTTTTCGGGGGGGAGAGGGGCCTACATTAATCAGAAGTGAATTCACAGTTGGTCTGCCTTGAGCTAGAAGGTTCTTGGCCATGTCCTCTTGCTACTATATATCTTAGCAGTGAAAACATTAATTCTTTGCCTGGCATTTGCTGGAGTGAAAATATACCAAAAAAAAAAAAGTTTGGGAGCAAAACAGCAAAATGCTGGTGGCAGAAAAGAAGCAATAGTCAGAGAAGAAAGATAACTGAAGGGGAATTCAGATTTTGCCATGTTAAATGTCAGCTCAAGTGGACTCTGGCTGAGAAGCAAGAATTATTGAATGATCTGTTAGAGGATAACTCCCAACATGTACCTTTACCTTAAAACAATGTGAATTGTTATAAGCTTTTAAAAGAATCGTATTTTATTTACTAAAATAAAATGTCTTTGTAAAAAGAATAGAGACTTGGAAAGCATTATATGTTCATTCATTACAGTGATTTGAAATATATACTTTTGAGAAAGCTCACCATTTTTTGTGACTCACTTAAGAAAGAACAGTTACTGCCCATAGTTTATTTCTATCTTGCCCTGCAATAGTAGTTAAAAAAATTGAATTTTAATGTATAGTATGTTACATGGGGGCATGTTATGGGGGCTTCAGTCCTATAAAGGGCAGTTTGATTGGAAGACTCTTGGAAAACCTGGACAGTGCCAGAAGATACAATTGTGGTTTTTCTTTTCTTTTCTTTTTTTGGTTGCAGCCATCATTGTTGTTTGGCGGGCCTAGGCTGGATTCGAACCTGCCACCTTAGGTGTATGTGGCTGGCGCCTTAGCTACTTGAGCCACAGGCACCAAGCCTGGTTTTGCTTTTCTATGCGTGCCTTTCTATGCCATGTACAAACCAAATATAAACCATTCCCTACTCCCACAGTCTTACTTTAAGTGCATGTGTTGTGACACTAATTAAAGCTACACATTAGCTTTGTTGTTATTAAGCTATGTAATGGTGTCTGTTTTAGCCCTAAGAAGCATTTGGTTTCTACCTGTGATCTTCAAAGTTCCTACAGGAACTTTGTATCCTGTCACAGCCCAGAGTGGGGAAAAGGCTGCTATAAACTGTTGGCACATTTCACAGAAGGGCCCTCTGAAAAGGGGGCCTTGTTCACGGAGGTAAATAAGTAGTAGTTTTCTTTCTGCCTTTGCTTTTGTGATCAGTGATAGTTTGAAAGTGCTTTATTGTAGTGCCCTTGCAAATGAGAATATCCTATTATTAAAGTCAAAAGCCAGAATTGATGAGAAGTTGTTAGATTTGGACACCCAACAAAATATTTCAACAAAGCAGGGAGGGGGAAAGAAGAGAAAGGAGGAAGTATTTGATAGTGAGCCATGGAGACCTTTAGTGCTGCAGTCTCCACCCCTCAAACCCCACCCCCCACCCCCTGAGCCATGGTACTGGTCTGGTCCATGGCCTATTAGAAACCAGGCTGCACAGCATCACTGCCTCACACTCCCTATCTGTGGAAAAATTGTCTTCCATGAAACTGGTCCCTGGTGCCAAACTGTTGGGGGTACTGCTGCATTAGCAATTACAGGCAGTCCCAGGGTTACAACATCTGACTTATGTATAACTCACACTTAGGAGCTGAGGCTATTACACTAGGTCCCTCAGTTATAAACACCCAACTAATCTGCAACTTGCACTTATAAATGGGGCTATTATAGGTAATAGGTAAATGTACCTATTCCAACTTAATACAAATTCAATTTAAGAACAAACCTAAAGAACCTCCCCTGTTCATAACCTAGGAACTTCCTGTACTTCAGTTGATTCTGCTTCATTTTAGTGATTTCCAGTACCACAGATTCCTGCTCTGGGACTAACACAAGACTGTTCTTACTTGGAGGTTGAACATTTCAATATTTTGATCTGTTTATCTTTTTGAAACCTAGGTGAAGATCCAGTGTCGGACATGAGACTCACCAAGTGACCATTTCATTGAGATCAACTTGAATAATCAGGTGTAAAGTGCAAGACTAATATGCTATGACTGAGGTATGTCTAATGTGGCAGATGACTCTAGCTGTTGGGAGGCCATGGAAAGAATATAATATTTATTGAATACCTTTTGACCTCCTGAAAATCCTATCAGATATTTTAAACTCAATAAGGAAACTGAAGCTCCAAGAGATTAAATAATTACTTAAATTAACACAGATAGCTGGTCACCAACTCTAATCACCACTTCTCTCCTCTTGGATGCTAGGCACTGCTGTCTGTTTCCTCTACATTAACTTTCCTAATCTTCACCTTAACACTGGGAGCTAAGTAATTTCATAAGCTTTTCTTTGTGATGAGGAAGTTGAAGCACAGGGAGATTGATACTTTCCTGGCCATGGGCCAGAACCTGTGATTCAAACCCACTCTGTCTAACTGCAGAACTATGCAGGTTGAGTACCCCTTATCCAAAAGGCTTGGACCAGAGGTGTTTCAGACTTCAGATTTTTTTTTTTTATTTTGGAGTATTTGCATATGCATAATTAGATACCTCAGGGATGGAACCGAAGTCTAAACATAAAGTTAATCTGCTTCTTATACACATAACTGAAGGTAATTTTATACAATGTTTTTAATAATTGTGTGCATAAAACAAAGTTTTGTCATATGAAATCAGATGTGGAATTTTGTACTTGTGGTATCTTGTCAGTACTCAAAAAGTTTTATATATATATATTTTTGAGGCAGTTTCTCCCTCTGTTTCCTGGTCTAGAGGCATCATCATAGCTGACTGCAGCCTCAAACTTCTGGGCTCAAGTGATCTCGCCTCAGCTTCCTGAGAAGCTAGGACTCTAGGCACATACTACCATACCTAACTAATTTTTTAATTTTTGTAGAAATAGGGTCTCATTGTGTTGCTTAGGCTGGTCTTTTTTTTTTGAGACAGAGTCTAACTTTGTTGACCTTGAAAGAAGTTCGTGGCATCACAGCTCACAGCAACCTTGAACTCTTGAGCTTAAGCAATTCTCTTGCCTCAGCTTCCCAAGTAGTTGGGACTATAGGAACCAGCCACAATGCCTGGCTATTTTTTGGCTGCAGTTGTCTTGTTGTTTGTCAGGCCCAGACCGGGTTCAAACCCACCAGCTCCTGTGTATGTGGCTGGTGCCCTAGCTGCTGAGCTATAGGTGCCAAGCTCTTAGGCTGGTCTTGAACTGACCTCAAGGGATCCTCCTACTCAGCCTCCCAAAGTGCTGGAATTATAGATGTGAGACACCCAGCCAGGCCTGGATTTTTAGATTAGGGATGCTCAACCTGCACCAGTGTTTTTTGGTATTTCCTTCACTTTTTTTTTTTTTATTTCCTTCACTTTTGATTTTTTGCTATTTGACAACATAGTTTTATTGTAAAATGAATTTATTATCAAATAAAACACATGGCCAAGTGTGGCAGCTCACACCTGAGAGGCTGAGAGGGGTGGATTACTTAAGTTCAGGAGTTCAAGACCAGTTTGAGCAAGAGCAAGATCCCATCTCTACTAATAATAGAAAAACTAGCCAGGTGTTGTGGTGGGCACTTGTAGTCCCAGCTATTTGGGAAGCTGAAGTAAGAGAATTGCGTGAGCCCAAGAGTTTGAGGTTGCTATGAGCTATGGTGATGCCATGGTACTCTAGCCAGGGCAGCAGAGTAAGACTCTGTCTAAAAAAAAAAAAAAAAAAACCCAGAGCTGGGATCATTTGAGCTGTTTATTTCCTAAAATTTGGATTTTGCTAATTGCATACTTATGTATGTTCAATATGTTCCTGTGCCTTGGGCAAGGGTGGGGAACCTTTTCATGGTGGAAGACTGCATTAACTTAGCTATCATCCAATAAGGTCTCATTTAAGAACCTTCACTTTGATATACTTAAAAATGTATATTATTTTGTAAAAATCTGACTACTATGTATTAATAATTAAAAAAAATGAAAAGTATTTAATTTTCAAGTTAACCTTTTAATGACTTTGTTGTGTCTGCTTTTAGTTGGAAAATATTTGAATGTTTGAAGCATGGGGGTGCACAGTTTCAGTTGATTCTCTAGGTGGATATCAGTCATTTGTGACCTTAAGGGCATCTTGATTTGGGTTAAGTAGGAGAATGTATATTTGTAGCAGTAAGTGGTTGAAAAGTGAGAAAGCATTTTTCAGGCATGTTGCCAAAGGTGTGGGTTTTCTATTGCATTTTTCTATATTTCAATTGGATCTTTCTTAGCTTCAAACTATGACTTTAAAATGTCATCTCCTGCGAGCTCAGTCAGTTCCATCTGTAGTTCTTTAGGTGCCTCAGTGATATCAACTAGCCGAGGCTGAAATGCCAATTTGAGTGCATATTGAGATTCTTCAAAGTCAGTGAACCTTTCATTGTATTCTCCAATTAATAGGTTTATAAGAGCTTCGTATTCTTCAACTGATTTGCATATACTATAGAACCTCCATAGTTAGCCAACTCCCTACATTGACCACTTCTTCAAGTTGACCTAATTTTCATATGCTAGACATGCACCACATGCACGTATCAGTGCAGTAAGCTTAGTTCCTTATGTTGACCAGTCTTTTACAGTCTTTGGGTGGTCAGTTTTTAGGGGTTCTGCTGTATATCATCCTGCTCATCAATGATTTTTGCTGAGGAAAATGTTCATATGAAATTCCCTTTTGAAAAAGAAGTGTTTTGATAAAAGATAGCTTTTTTTAAATGCTTGGGGGTTTTGCCATGTATCATATATAGATTTAGTTTTACTTTGCAAAGGCATATTCAAGTTGTTTTGATTTGACATATCACCCACAAATGTTGCATTCCTATAGAAATCTTCTTTCAATAATTCACATTGTTGATTCTCTTCTTCATAAAATTTAACTATCTGTTTCTACAGAGATAAAATATTGGCTAACCCCTATCTCTCAGATAGCCAATGAACTTTAGAATGATACCGCAAATCCACAATGAATACCTTATCATTCAACTTTAGCAAGTTATAAAATAGAGAATGCTGTGATGTATTTGCACTAATATAGATTAATAATACTTACAGCTTGTTGTAAAATCAGATTTTGCTGATGTGAGATACAATGATATATACTCATTAAATGTGGTGGCTCACACCTAAAATCCTAGCACTCTGGGAGGCTCAGGTGGGTGGATTGCCTGAGCTCATGGGTTCCAAACCAGCCTGAGCCAGAGCAAGACACCGTCTCTAAAAAACAAACAAACAAAAAAGAGCCAGGCGTTGTGGCAGGTGCCTGTAGGCTGAGGCAAGAGAATTGTTTGAGCCCAAGAGTTTGAGGTTGCTGTGAGCTGTGACACCATGGCACTCTACTGAGGGTGACAAAGTGAAACTCTATCTTAAAAATAAATAAATAAATAATTCAATCCAACTTTCACGATATGTGTCTTGAAAGTTGTTGAAGAAATCTATTCTCTGTATTCTGTTTGGAAGATTGTCCAGTGTGAGTAACTCTTGGTAGCAAAGAAAGTCTTCTGTTATCACCTGAATGATGTATAAAACCTGTGCCAAGTCAGTAGTATCAGTTGATACATCCAAAGCAACTGAATAATAAATATTTTCTTTTTGAATATTGCATAAGGTTGTTGTGTTAAGTTGAAAGCTGAGTCAAGTTGCTGATCAGTTATGGTTCCTCTCTAAAGAGGCAAGTTGTTTGTACTTTGAAACATTATCAGGTGGTTTGATCCCAGGTTTTGGCACCAAAAAAAGAGAGCCAGAGCGAAATGTTATCAGGGTCTAAGCTTCCTATACTTCAATAATCCATTTCTTTCACAATTTCTACATCACTGAATGGCTTCTCTTTTTTCCCCAAATATGTAAGCTACTTTATAATTTGCTTCAGTGGAATTATTTCCAGATCTTATTGCTACTTGAAAGAATTGTCTTTGCTTTTACTTTTATCTTTTAATTTTTGACATT